AAATGTGTTTATATTATGACCTTTAAAATAATCCTTAGGGTCAAAGGATCTCAATTTAATGTTAAAATTTTCTTTTAATTTTTGGCAAATTATTTGATTTTTATTTAGAATTTTATTCTTTCACGTGTTTTGTTTTTTGCAATACTATTTTAATTAATTTGCTGGCGCATAAATCATTTCAGTTGCCAAAAACAAAAAAAAATATCTGGCATTTTTCACACAACTCGTGATTTGTTGTAAAATTAAAAGAAATTTTTGTACAAATAGTTACACAATTAATTAAATGTAAATTATAATGGCATTTCATTAAGTAAATCACCAATAATGAGATGATGATGATTATAATAATTTAAAATAAATTATAAAATATTCTAAATAAGTCGGAGTGTCATCGGTTTTATTAATTTAGAAAGTTTTTAAAATGAAGTAAACGAGATTCCTTCTCAATTCAAATAATGATTATTTTTAAATCTTTCATAAAATTATCTGAACTTTAGACAAATGCTTTGCGTTTCTAAATTGCAATTGATTTAAGAAAAAGATCTAAAAGTTAACAGACTTTTTGTTGAGACGTTAAAAATGTCTTTTGAGAATAAGTTTTATAATAATTTTATAATCATCTAATAGAATAGAGACGAAAGAGTTAGGAAATTATTTTAAATAAGACTTTAAATATTTATATTTATAATTTTATTGCAGAAATAAATGAAGAAAACACAGCCAAAACTAGCAGCGAACCAGCCGCAACCGCCGGTCCATCAACTTCCACAGAACCAGCCGAAGATGATAAAGACAAGGAAGACGACAAAGATTCTAAAAAGAAAAAGAATCGTTGCGCTGAATGTCGCAAAAAAGTTGGCTTGACAGGTAAGATTAACAACAACACAACTTGACTGCAGACACAGGACTATATTTTCGATATTTGAAAGGATTGCTATTGACTGAACAATAGTCTCGGCTATTGAACCCTAGTCTCGATTATAAATTGGATTACAGTTTTGACTATAGCCTCGAATATAGAGACTGTAGTTTTCTACTATAGACTGTTTAATAGTCTGGACTATAAACTATTCTATAGTCTCGAGTATAGACTGTTTTATAGTCTCGACTGTAGACTGTTCTATAGTTTCGACTACAAACTGTTTTATAGTCTCGACTATAGACCGTTCTATAGTCTTTATTGGACTATAGACTGTTTTATAGTCTCCACTGGACTATAGACTGTTCTACAGTCTGGACTATAGATTATACTATAGTCTGGACTATAGACTGTACTATAGACTGTACTATAGTCTGGACTATACACTGTACTATAGTTTGTACTATGGACTATTCTATACTCTCGATTATAGACTACTCTATAGCCTGGACTATAGACTGTTCTGTAGTCTGGACTATAAACTGTTCTATAGTCTGGACTATAAACTGTTCTATAGTCTGGACTATAGACTGTTCTATAGTCTGGATTATAGACTGTTCTATAGTCTGGACTATAGACTGTTCTATAGTCTGGACTATAGGCTGTTCTATAGTCTGGACTATAGACTGTTCTATAGTCTGGACTATAGACTGTTCTATAGTCTGGACTATAGACCGTTCTATAGTCTGGACTATAGACTGTTCTATAGTCTGGACCATAGACTGTTCTATAGTCTGGACTATAGTCTGGACTATAGACTGGACTATAGACTGGACTATAGACTGGACTAAAGACTGGACTATAGACTGGACTATAGACTGTTCTATAGTCTGAACTATAGACTGTTCTATAGTCTGGACTATAGACTGTTCTATAGTCTGGACTATAGACTGTTCTATAGTCTGGACTATAGACTGTTCTATAGTCTGGACCATAGACTGTTCTATGGTCTGCACTATAGACTGTTCTATAGTCTGGACTATAGACTGTTCTATAGTCTGGACTATAGACTGTTTTATAGTCTGGACTATAGACTGTTCTATAGTCTGGACTATAGACTGTTATATAGTCTGGACTATAGACTGTTCTATAGTCGGGAATATTGACTGTTCTATAGTCTAGACTATAGACTGTTATGTAGTCTGGACTATAGACTGTTCTATAGTCGGGAATATTGACTGTTCTATAGTCTAGACTATAGTGTTGACTATAGTATCGTCCTGACTATAGAAAAGACTACTACCTATCTCGTCTATAGTCTTGACTATAAAAAATTATTTCTATTTTTTTTCCTAATAAATACTAATTTCACATTTCTTATCCACTTTTTAGGTTTCCTTTGCAGATGTGGCGGTTTATATTGTGCTGTCCATCGATACAGCGATAAGCACAATTGTACATTTGATTATCGGGAACATGGAGCCCAAGAAATTAGACGCAATAATCCGGTAGTAGTTGGCGAAAAAATACAAAAAATTTGAACTTTTGTGCCATCAACATTAAACAACTTTATAATAATATAATCTTATACATAAATCTATATATAAATATAAAAAACAACTTATAAATATTAAATATAAATACAAAAAAAACCTTTAATAATAATATAAATATATAAAATAATATTAAAACCAGAAAAAAACTAATTTAAATATAAAAAAAAACTGAAAAAAATCTAAAAAAAAAAATGTAAACATAATACAACAAAAAATAAGCAGAGAAGTTTTTAAAAAGCCAATTACAACCAAAAAAAAATAATAAAAAAAGAAAACAATATTTTACTTTTTGTTCGAAACAACAACTAACTTTTTTCCAAACCACAATGCAATTACAATTTTTTGTTTTTTTTTTTTAAATACACAGCATTTTTTTTAAAAATAAATTTAAAGGGTATATTTAGCTAAAATAAAGAATTTTTGTATAATTAGATTAAACAGCTTTTTTCGAAATATATTTAAAGAAAACTACTTATACTTAATTAAAGACTTGGATAAAATAAACAACAACAAAAACCCTTTATTACAAACAAATTCTTTAGAAAAAACAAAAGAAAATGCTGCTGCAGTTTTTTTAATTAAAGTAAAGAAACACTATAAATGCTTTCAAGAAAACAAAATTATAAGTTTTTTCTTTAAACAAAAAAAGAGTTTAAGTTAATTTTAAAAACAACAAATATTAAAACACTTTACTAAGAGCGAGTAATAAACAAAAAAGTAAAATTTTTTTTTAAAACTTAAATTAAAAGCAAACAACAATTTACAACTTAGTTTATTTAACATCTAATGAGTATTTAAAGATTTAAACAAAAAACTACTACTATTTACTAGGGAATAATTGAAAAAGAATATGAAAATGAAAAAGAAAAACAAAAAATCAATTGCATACAAAAACATTTCTAGTAAATAACAAACAATATTAAACAGCAACCACAAACTAAGGAAAACCAACAACTAAAATGCTAAATTTAAAAAATAATAAGAAAAAAACAAAAACAAAACCAATTTTTTGTGAGTTTGAAAAGTTAAGGAAAAAAAAACGTAAATATTATTCTATTATTAAAATTAATAACAAGTTTTAAGTAGTAATATTATTAATTAATTAATTATTATAAAAAAAAGTAAAGAGAAAAAAGGATTTAAATTTAATTTAAAAACAATTAACAAACAACATACATTTCTAAAACACTACATACACATACACTGATAGAAAGAAAAAAAAAAGTTTATTATATTTTGTCTTCAATTTATTGTAATATTTTTGAGTTTTCTTTTTTTTTTCTGGAGAAAAAACTAACTTTTTTGGGGGATTTTTGAGGGTTTGAAGAAAAATATTTACAAAAGATTAATGTGTTTGGGAATTTTATAAAGTTTGTTAAAGATTTTTTCGAGATATAAACATTTTAATAATGAAAACAAAGTTTTAACATTGACTGATATCTCAAAAATCTTTTAGAAAAAGTTTTACAAATTCTTGCTTTTTACAAAAAGGAAATTTCGGGAAGCTTATAGCTTTCATATGAAATTAATGGGTCTATTATGTATCTCGTGTTGCTAGTTGACAGAATGAATGAATTTCAATTCGAATAGAAATTTTCTCCTTTTAACAACTTTGGTATTATGCATTTTCTTTCGTTTTCTAAAGACCTTTTGCGTTCGCCACAAAAATAACAACTTTCAAAAGCTTAAATGCACAATAAACACTCTCGTAAAGCTGTAAAACAAATGGGAATGTCTTCGTCCTTTTTCTTACGTTTGTGGGAATATTTTTTTCTTCGATCCTTGCTTCAACAGTGTAAGCGGATACGTAATGTAATGCAAACTGTAGGCGTTACAGTTTAAAATTTCTTAAAACTTTTGGCAAAATCTATTTTGACTTTTAAAAGCCTTAACGGTTAAAAAGAAACAACTTTATAAAACCCCTAAAATTAATTCTTTTATAATTAAAACTCTTAAAATTAACTGATAAAGTTTGTCTTTTTTTTCTCCCTAAAATGTATGGTATTGTAAGAAAAACAAAATCGAAAAAAAACTGTAAAAAAGAAAAGTCAATTTTCAAATAAAAGCTCTTTTTTGAAAGCCATTTGAAATTTGACTTTTCCAACCACTTTAAAAACATTAATTTTCTTTTTTATTATTTTAATAATAACCCTTTAAAAAAATGCTTTAAAAGTCTTCTTAATTTTTTTTTATTATTTACATTTTAATTAAATATTTTGTTTCTTCTGTAGTTTTTTTCTTCCATTTCGTGTTAATTAATAATAGCCCAAAGCTTTAAGCTTGCTTTACTCTTTACTTTTCATTATATTTTATAATTTGAAATCTTTTCTTTAAAAAAAAATTATATTGTTTTTCTCCCTTTTTTTTCTTTTATTATTTTTTTAAGTTTATTTTTAGTTATTATTATTATTAATTTTTTTTCTTTTTTGTTAACTCTTTATATAAAATATTATATTATATTATTAAATTAACTAGAGCTTGCTTTTTTTTATTTTTATTATTATTATATTATATTATCTTTTAAATGTTTATTTTTATTAAAAATATTTTTTAGAATTAATTAAAACAATATTTAGTAATAATTTCTTGATGAAAAAAAGGTTTTTTAATTGTTTTTTTGAAATTTTAATTTAAAGAAAGAAAAAAATATATATATATTAAAGAAAATAAAAAGAAAAAAAATTTAGTTAAACCACTTTACAAAATAAATAAAACTAAACCAAATGTTTGTATTCATTTCAACAACAAAAAAAAAAAAAAGAACTAAAATAAATAAACAAGTGAGTGAGTGTTTGTCTGCTACTCTTAAAAAATTAATCTAAAGCCTTTACTTACTGCTTTAGATAATGGGTTGAGTACCTTGCCCAAGTGTAATACTTTGACCCCAAGTTTTTTGCAATTGCAATCACACGTGTTTTTATAGGTGTTTTTTTTACTAACAACTCTGGTCTTTTAATTTATATTTCATTACAAGTTTAATTTAATATTTTGTTTTTTTATTTTTTTTATTTTAGCTTTTTTTCCACCACTACATATACATAAATACCTTATAACTACATATGCTTTAAATAAATTCTTTTAATTTTTTTTAGTTACGTTTTATTTTTAATAATATAAATATTAAATTTATATATTAACTTTTGTTTTTGCAAATATTTAGTGAAATTATATATTTACCTACAATAATAATAATAATATATATTTTTTTTGTAATTATAAGTTTAAATAATAAATCACTTTTTTGTGTGTTAAATATTCTTAAAATTTAATTTTACTTGTGTTTAATTTTTTTTCTCTCTCTCTCTCGCTTCTCTTCTAGTTACTTTTTTCTTAAACAATGTAAAATAATTTAGTAATAATTAATATATATATAATAAACATTTACATATATAATACATATACATCAGTTAATAAGAAGTTAAATAAATTACAAAGAAACAAATTAAACAAAAAAAAAAAAAAAAAAAGAAAATTATTCAAAATTGTTTTAGTTTTTTTTTACCTCTAATGTTATAAATATTTTAATATTTTTATGTTAAAATTTCAAAACTTTTGTTTACGAAATTTTTATTTTTGCAAATGGAAATGGAATTGAGAGAAAATACGGATGGAAAATTGGATAATCGTATGGTTCTCTTTTTTTTAAAATTATTCAAAAAACAAGGAAGTCGCATTAGATGGGGGATGTATTTTTATGTAAACACATAGAAAAAAAAAAGGAAAACAGCTGTTTTTATATTACTTTGGTTATTGTTGTATTCCAATCGTGTTATCACAAAGAAATATAATTACACGTCTTTCATTGTCCGTCAGGCATCCGGCAGAGTATAGTCTAGCCTATATTATAGTGTAGTCTATAGTCTAGTCTATAGTCTAGTCTACAGTCGAGTCTATAGTCTAGTATATAGTCTATAGTCTAGTCTATAGTCTAGTCTATAGTCTAGTCTATAATCTAGTCTAGTCTATAGTCTAGTCTATAGTCTAGTCTATAGTCTAGTCTATAGTCTAGTCTATAGTCTAATCTATAGTCTAGTCTATAGTCTAGTCAATAGTCTAGGTCTATAGTCTAGTCTATAGTCTAGTCTATAGTCTAGTCTATAGTCTAGTCTATAGTCTAGTCTATAGTTTAGTCTATAGTCTAGTCTATAGTCTAGTCTATAATCTAGTCTATAGTCTAGTCTATAGTCTAGGTCTATAGTATAGTCTAGTCTATAGTCTAGTCTATAGTCTAGTTCTATAGTCTAGTCTATAGTCTAGTCTATAGTCGAGTCTATAGTCTAGTCTATAGTCCCAGTCTATAGTCTAGTCTATAGTCTAGTCTATAGTCTAGTCTGTAGTCTAGTTTATATCCTAGTATATAGTCTAGTATATAGTCTAGTCTATAGAGTAGTATATAGTCTAGTTTATAGTCTAGCCTATAGTCTAGTTTATAGTCTAGCCTATAGTCTAGTCTACAGTCTAGTCTATAGTCTAGTCTATAGTCTAGTCTATAGTCTAGTCTATAGTCTAGTATCTCCAGCGCGACTTTAATTGCAATTCTTTCATGTTATTACAAGTAATAGACGGAACATGCCACGGTTGCTCTTTTCCCATGATAATCGGTTCTTTGCAACGCAACGAATCGGATTTTAATGAAGAACGACCAAGTTTTGTTAATAAATAATGTCGCAGTTGCAATGACAAGGAAAAAAGAAGAAAAGTTCTAGCACCCTCCTCTGTGAATGCTCTGCCCTACACTGGGTCTACACTTAGTTTAGACTATGATATGGATTTTACTCTTGTTGTTCTTATAAAAACGGATATAATTATACTATAATGGAGTGTTTTTACGTAGTAAACTAACACGATAACCACCAACCAATTTTTTAAATAGTTGCATCATCTGCAATCCGTTAAATCGTTCTCAATTTTAGAAGAATACAAGGTTATAGGTTAATCTCTCTGTTTTTTTTACCTACACTCCTAATTATTTATTTATTTATTTTGCGCCCAATTCGTTTATAAAAGTTTAAAATTTAAATGCATAATCACATAATTAATATTTTCGTTTTATGAATTTGAACTTTGAAATTATATTGAAAACTT